TCTATGCATACCTAATAACTGCTGTGTTTCCTGTGATAGTGCATGTGTTTACCTGGAAAGTGCCGTCGTTAAAAAGCATCATGAGGGCGCGGTCTGACTTGAGCCACTGCAGCAGGTAGAGTCTGGGCATGTGAGTATCTGCCACACTAACAAGGTCCCCGCCCTGAGAAAGCAAAAAAGGTAGAACAGGATTAGACAGGCTGCAACATGAAAGATGCCATAATGCTTCAGGGGATGGAAAGACAAAAGAGACATAATAGCAAGAGAGATAGATTACAGAAAGAAGAGTGGGAAAATAGAGATATTTACTTACATCCATGAGATTCTCCTCCATGTAGTGTGAAAAGTACTTGAGCACAGTCACTTGGCCCACAAAGTGTTCAGGTACCTCGCAAGTGGGGAAGACGGAGCGCTGTCCCAGCTCTGCATAGTAATGGATAGTCCTGAAGAGATGGACATAAGGAGGTGAAAAGAGTTATGCAACCAGTCAGATAAACACTACAAAAAGAGAACAAACAGAAACTGATTTTTCTGACATTCAAAATCTGTTGGTATTCTTGATATATATTGCTGTTGCTTGAAAATGATGAAGTACCAGGGAAAAGGATCTAGCAACATTTACTTATTGAAAAGGAGCCTGCAAATTCATATGACAAGGCAAGCTATCCTTGCAATTTAGTACGTCAAACCACTAACAGGTTCTTCAAAGTATGTGCTAGAGCATGCTTAAACAAGCCATCTCCATCATATGTAGTGAGTAGTGACTAATAACTGTGAAACTGAAGGTGGAGTGCTGTGAAAGCATAGAATGGTGCCTACTTTCTGTCTGGCAGGAGGCTCATGTGAGTGCCGTTGTTAAAGAGAACTCCCACGGTGTGGTCAGACAACTGGTAGCCAAAGCCGTACTTGTTGGAGTAGTCCACCCATTTAGTCACCCATTGAAGAGTGCAGCTGTTTGAGCCCTGGGGAATGTCATCGGCTAAAGGGTGAAAACACAGAGGAGGAGGATTACAATACAATAACAAAGACCATTTGAAGAACTAAAGAAGCCTCTATAAATCCTTGCTTTTGTTAAAGCCACCAAGAGCTTATCAATATATCAATATTTCCTTCACGGTCACACACAAACAATAATACACGTGGAGGGAATGAGGGTGTGTTAACAAAATCATGGAGTCTATCTTTGAGATATAAAACAGTCCTTCAATCAACACATTTTTCTGTTAAGACATTTCAAGGTCAAATACAAATAATGAGCTTTTTGGTTTACAACAAAACCTTCCAGTGTGGAATCATTTGATAATTAACTACATGTGTAGGCTTTGAATTGGCAAATAGTCTCACCTTTAGGCATATTCTCCAGACATCCTCTCAACACGCTCGCAACAGTCTCAGCCACGCTCCCTGTCGTGCTGTCTTCCAGACCTTAAAGAACAACAACAGGGGGCATTTAGCTAGACATCATTTCAGTGCAGTTCAAGAAACTGCATTGCTATCTAGCTGTTGCATAAATGCACTCTATCATTGATGCAGCTCCTGTGTGTAAAATAACAGAAATGTATCTGTGTCTGGGAAACAAGTCTGGAGAACTCACATTCACTGCTGCTGCTGCAGCTCCCCAGACTTCCCCTGACAATCAGACGGATGGTATCACGCGTCGTCGGAGACTGGCTCTCCGTTGCCGGGCCAACGGGGTTTTCGGCAGATGGCAGAGGTAGACTTCCACTCTGAAGGTGAGAATCATTGACGCCACGGTTAAATACTGTACATTTGGATCATATCTTCCTACTATGACTAAGCATTCCCCCACAGAAGCTTAAAAGGTTGAAAATAAATGCTGTTAGTTTGCTCTAAAATTGTGCTTGTTTGTTGTAATACAGCCTCGTAGTTACTCATTGGATTCTCGCAAACATGATATCTCAAGGGTTAGCATCACCTGTGTGATGTTTTAATATCCTGAACTGTGTTTTGAATGATCTCTTACCTCAGAAATATTTTTGCTCTGCTGTTGGCTGATAACACTTCTCTCCAGGTCGTGCTGCAGTTTGTAGATCTCCTCTTCCTCTTTTGTCAACTTATCTATCAAAAGGTAATGAAGCACAGAACATATCAGAATAATACCTTTTAACCAGTGGCTAAACAAACACAAACATGAGAGCAGTATACATTTAAAATGTGAAATGTGAAATGTGCTTGCAATTGTTTAATAAACTAACAGTGCCTCTTGCAGCAACCACAACTGTGCTGTATGAACGATAAATAACTGCTGTGACATGTGGTGTTTGAAATGGTACATGAGAGCTCAGTGTTTTGTATATTACTCACTCAGAGTCTCGTAGTATTTGACCTTGTCCCTCTTGCCCCCAAAGAGCGCTGCGGCAGCTTTCTTGAAAAAGCTCTTGGCTGGACTAGAGACGTGGAAATCTGGTGCTGAATGGCAGCAGCTAGCAGGCAGACGCTCTGGACTGAAGCCCTGTGCAGAAGAAAAGTGGGTCAGTGCGCGGCTGGTGGGAAAAGGGTCACTGTTATACTCCTACACAGTGACATTTAGTGAGACAGACAGTGAGGACAATAGACAGACAGGCAATAATGAGGTCTAACCTGTGTGAAGAAGTCGTGCCTCATAATGTGGTCCAGGTTTGGCCGATCCTCTGGAATCTTGGCTAGCAGGCTGGTGATGAGCTGCTTAGCCTGTGGCGACAGGGAAGAGGGTAGAGAATAACGCGCCTCTCTAATACACCTGTACGTCTCCTTCAGGTTGGTGGTTTCAAAAGGTGGCCTGCCCAACAGCATGGTGTACCTGGAGAAGGATGGAGGGGAAAAGTGAGCGGATATAGGCAAAAGAGGAAATCACAATCTCATAAAATATGATGCCAATGTGTCTCTTCAAGCTGATTATCCAGTATTTGACTGATATTTAACTATATTTTACATTGTTACAAAACATCTTTTTGAACTAAATGGTGTAAGTATAGTTGGCCTACTCACATGACACAGCCCAGGGCCCAGATGTCTGATTCACAGCCGTGGCCCTGCTTGTTGAGCACCTCAGGGGACAGGTAGTTTGGAGTTCCACAGATCGTCTTCCTCCTGTTCCCTGCTGGCTCCAACTTGGCAGCCAGACCAAAGTCCCCGACCTTCAGCTCCATCGACTCACTCACAAAGAAGTTACCTGTAGGGAAGAAAGGGAATGATATGATGAGCATTTGATATTCAAGCCAGGATCAAAGGATAAATACTGCACTGATCCTCTGCTGTATTGAGTACAGAATGTATCTTTACAATTGTGCATAAAGTGTCTCAGCAATGCAGTGTGTCACTGCTTCAGTCAAATTCCTTACCAAGTTTAAGGTCTCTGTGAAGGATCTCTTGTTCATGCAGGTACTTCAGTCCAGATACTATCTGTCTGAGATAATAACGCACCTCGGGCTCAGTTAGCACTTTGCGAGCCTTCAGGATGTGGGCTAATGACTGCAAAAAGACAACAATATAGAGAGAAGATAATTAGTTTCCTGTAGTTTAATTATCTATAAAAACACAGTTTCCTCTAACCAAAACTTTAACATTGTGGTTTTCTTGTATTCTCATTCTGTGGGAAGGTATATACTGTAGATTTGCTGAATCATAACAATAAATAACACAGTATAGGTATTTTATAGTAGGGGCAGACTGAGTGCTGCTTCATTGACTTTAGGTGCAATGCAGGTGTTATCAAAATGTGAAGCACGGCTGCTGCAAGAACAAATAACAATGGTATGAGTTTTTAGTATGTGCCAACTAACTTACTTTTCTACTGCAGTATTCCAACAGGATGTAGATATTTTCCTTGTCCTCGAAATGATGATAAAAGTGCACAATGTGTTTGTGGTGTAGAACTCGGTGCAGCTCAATTTCCCTGTCAATCTGGCAGGGGAGAAACATAATGGTCACGATTTGAACTTAGAGGCATGTCTGTGATATCTGCTGTCCAGGCGCACCAGGACCAGAGGCGCGCGCTTACCTTCTCTCGTTGGTGAGGTTTGGAGACGCGCGAATGCGGGATGATTTTGGCTGCATAAACTTTGCTGGTGGAGAGGTCAGTCATCTCGTAGCATTTAGCAAACCCACCCTGGAAAGAATAAAAACACTTACGTTAACATGCTGTGTCTTCGGCTTAAGTTGTAAATCCATTAAGAAATTACTAGAGATGAAACTTGCGCTACCTTTCCCAAAACGTTCCCACGGCAGTAGCACTTCCCCGTGGCAGGGTCAGTGATGATCCTGGCCATCTCCGAGGGCACACTGTGCTCATCCAACTTCTTTCTGCGAGGCTCGCTCGACCTTTGCGTGGCTTCACACATACTGCTGCTGTTTGTCTGTTGGGGACCGGTGTTTTTCTGTACTTCCATTTGAGGTGGTTAGTCGTCCCGCACTCAGAATGCAGCCCGGAGCTCGTCTCTGAGGTTTTATAGTCTGGCACTCTCCCCACCCAGCCCCTCTGTCTGCCGCCCTCTCTCTGACGTCACAGTGTGAAATCAGAGCATGAGGTCTGCCTGACATCGATTGCCTTGCATGGGTGTTGATGATGGCACAGACATGAAATCAAAGGGATTAAACATCCGGTGGATTCTGTTATTTTATATTTTATAAGGATTCATATTATTATTTGCAACACCAGCCTCGCAACAACAATAACAACAATATCATGTTCGTTAGTTTCAATATATAATAGCCTATATAATCGTAATTTGGGCAGGTGAATGGACCTTTTATATTTGTGTGCATACTATAATTCAATGTGTTGGAAGTCTGATGCATTTTATCGATAGAATATCCAGAGGATACCACTATCTGTATTCCATTCAGGCTCACCTCATTCTGTATTTTTGCACCAAACTCAGTCTGGAGCACTAGCACCCTCAGGTGGACATGTTGGATAATATTAAGAAGCTGGAGTAAAGGTTTCAAACCTGCTCAGCCTTTACATCTCTGTTCACCAAAGACTATACTGCAATACAATGAAACACTGACATCTGATACTTTATTGGATTGTTAAGTGCAGAGGTTCCCTTTCTTTCAGACAGGTCAGGAGATACAGATACTGTTTCCAGTCCGTGCACAACATAAAAAGGTCTTTGTGCCTAATCTTCAGTGGCTCTGAGAACCATGGAGTAAATTTCAGAATGGCATTGAGCTGGAGGAGCCTAGGAGCCTAGGTGTTCATTACATAAATAAACACAAGCACAACATATGAATCTAGCTACAATCCCACAAGAGCAAAGCGGGACAAATAGAATAACATACATACCTCACTTACCTGAAACATGCTACTGAGTATGTCATGATGTGGAAGAAAAACTATTTGCAAATGAATCGCTCTTAGAAAGAGCGCAATAGCAATGTTGTAAATAGTGTTGCACAAATGTATTTATAACACGATTGTTAGCAAGACTACAAAAGTCTGTTGTGGATATGCACTGGTTTATGAAATACAGCAGCAGATTTTGACAACTAATGTCAAAATCATCCTGACATTTTGTCAAGTCAGAGTCCCTCTCATCCTCTCCATCACACCTGATCAGTGCTCGTAACTGACAGAAACTGTATCTTTAAATTATGTGCTAGAAGAGAAAATAACCCAAAGACTGTGAATTAATACTCCACAATTTTGGGTCCTTTTCTCAGGTGTGAACGCACAGTGCTTATGTCATAGGCAAAAGTCTCATCAAGATCAGAACCAACAGACTGTCGCAGTGGCCAGTTGGGGAAAGGAAAACGAGCGGCGATGACACACGCATCATCAGGAAGCTCTTTCAACAGCTTCTCACCCAGCACCTCCATCTGTGAACCAATCAAAAGCTTTATGCTATATGATCTATACATATTAAGAAAAGGAAAATACATAATACTTCACAAGGAGGCAGGGGCGGACTGGCCATTGGGAATACCGGGAGTTTCTCCGGTGGGCCGGTGCTGTGTGTGGGCCGGAGGGCCAAAAAAATAAATAAAAAAATTCCTTTTTTTTTGCCTAAATGCTACCGGCCCACATTTGTAAGTGTTCCGGCCCAGCCCAGCCCAGCCCAGTGGGGTGTGGCCAGGGTTGGGTTGTAACGGAATACATGTAACGGTGATCAGAATACAAAAATCAAGTAACTGTATTCAGCTCGCGTTACATTTAAAAAACGAGTAATATGATTACAGTTACTTTCGTAAACCTGAAGTGAATACATTTTGGAATACTTATTGGAATTATTGGTGGAAAGATTTCCTCACAACATTTAATATTCATTACTAAAGGTACAGCCGAATCATCACAGCGCACAAAACCGCGCAGATGGACCAAAAAGGGGAGCGTTTGAAAAAAAATGTGTGGGTCCACTCAGTGAAACAATAACAACGTAACATGGAGGAACAAAAGTCTGCGTTTAAATCGTGTGTGTGTGTGTGTGTGTTTATAGAGGTGTGTGTGGTTAAAACACATCAGCCACACCGCTCTTTAGCCTTTCTAATGATTCTGAAGGTAAACACAGTGAAGGCGGCGTGAAGGCGGTGCGTGAAAGGCGGTGCGTGAAAGGCGGTGCGTGAAAGGCGGTGCATGAAAGGCACTGCGCGCTCCTCTTCTCAGAGGCTGAGTTAACCCTCCCGCTGCCTCCTGGTGCTGCAGAGATTTCATGAAGTGAAGGAGGTTTTCCTTCTATAAAACAGCTGCGGGCAGCAGATACTGTGAGAGTCACAGACATGAATACATAGATCAAGGCAGACTGGTGCACACACTCTCCTGTTTTGCCAATCCGGTGCTTTAACAAATATAGCTCTAAACCCCTGGCCGAAATGTCCTTAAAATGAAGTCCGAGTTCGACATTTTAATTTATGTCATGCCAACACTGGCAGGACAGAAGGCGACACGCCCTTTCTAAGCCATGTCCTCACATCCCAAGCTGCATCCCCAAAAAGTTCATTATGTTGTTACAACAGGGTTCAGGGGGAGTGGCTGTACGGCTGTACCCGTAGGATAGAAAAGGGGGAAGTGACGTCTGACTCAGAGGTCGCGCGGCTGTGGAGAAGAATGTGTTGCCCACATTCTGTTACTGAGTTTAGGCTAGTTAGCTAGCAGGTTTATTGTTTTGGGTGCAGTCACTTTTGCCTCCACTTGCTGTTCAAATAAATGTTGAAGGAAAAAGTTAATCTGTTTACAGTTCTGTTTTATATGGGTGTTGAAGAAGAAGGAGAAGAAGGAGAAGGAGAAGAAGGGAGAAGAAGAAGAAGAAGAAGAAGAAGAAGAAGAAGAAGAAGAAAGAAAGAAGACAAGAAAGAAAGAAGAAGAAGAAGAAGAAGAAGAAGAAGAAGAAGAAGAAGAAAAGAAGAAAGAATAAG